TCGTCATAGTTATAATTTTATGTTTATTCATGGAATTGTTTCATGTCTCCTTCACATGACTTTAAGTTCCATGAGAGTGTCCTGGGTTTTGCTTATCAGTCATTGTACCACCCACGCTTGGCAGAGAGGGAACGCACCATACATATTTGTAGAATGAGTGAATTACATAGTGAATCCACACTACTGACAGGGGCAGCATGGTAAGCCTAGACGAGATTTTAAAAAAAAGAATTTTTTGCTCTTTAAAAAAAAATCACTAAAAAGCCAAAATAAACCACTCTTACCATGACTTTATATTTTGCAACAAAACTGTAGCTATTGTCCTCCCCCAGATCCCCTCCTCCCCCATTTTAATTCTGGCTTAGGCAGATCTTGGTTCTTAAAAATCAAAAAACCTTTATTTTGTTATTTTAAAAGTAGTATAAAATTCATTATTTTTATAAGAAATATAAAAAAATTCATGCATAGTTTCCATTTTTCTGAAAAAAGATGGACAGAAGACTAGCTCTGACAGATTCTAAAACATATTTAAGAGCTCTCAATAATTAAGACAGTTCATTATCAGAAAAGAAAGAGACATAGATCACCGGACAGAAATTTACCCAAAATACATAATCAAATACATATGTAAACTTAGTTTATGGTGAAGGAAGCATTTTAAATTAAAAAAAGAAGGATGATTTAGGGGACCCACATTTCTAAATTCAATTGCTTTTCAATAAAAGTACCAAATAATTCAATGGGAAAGGCAACCTACAAGACATGGTGAAGAACAACTGGCTATCTATATGGAAAAAACAAAAAACTTTGACTCCTGTCTCACACTACAAACAAAATTTAATTTGAGATGGGTCATAGAACTGAATATAACGGCTAAAACGACAAAGCTTGTAGAAGAAAACAGGAGAGTATCTTCAAGATCTTGGGTAGACAAAAGACACAAAAAGCACTAAAAATGAAAGAAAAAAATTAATCACCAAAACTTAAAACTTCTCAATATCCAAAGATATTGAGAAAATGAAAAAGCAAGCCACAAACTGGAGGAAAATATACACAATACATCTATTTGACAAAGAACTTGCATTCAGCTTACATAAAGAATTCCTGTAACTCAACAACAAAAGTACAACTTTTAAAAAAGACTTGAACAGACACTTCACCAAATGAAATATACAAAAGGCCAATAAACATATGAAAAGGTGCTCAATTAAAACCACACTTAGATATAATTTTTCATTCTCTAGAACACATAAAACTAAAAAAATAAAATAAAAAAAGAATACCACCAAATATTGGCAAAAATAAGGAGCAACTAGAACTCCCATACATTGTTTGTGGGAGTGTAAAGTGGCAATAACCACTTTGAAAAACTGTTTGGTAGTTCTTTATAAAAAATCAAACATATATCTACTCTAACCATCTTTTTTAAAAAATTTATTGTTGGTGGCAGTCCAATACAGGGATTGTTGAACCCTGAACCTTGGTGTTATCAGCATCATGCTCTAACCAACTGAGTTAACCAGCCAGCCCTATATATCTACTGTAGACCCAAAAATCCTACTTCTAGGTTTTTACACACACACACACACACACACAACTTATAAGAGAATGTTCACAGCAGCCTTATTTGTAATAGGAAAAGAACTGGATACAAACCAAAGGTCCATCAACAAGAGGATAGATGAGCAAATTGTGGTATATCCATACAATGGAACACTAGCTAGTGATAACAAAGAATGAACTATACATGTAACAACATGGATGAATAGCAAAAATACGTTATGCAAAAGGAGATATCACAAAAGAGTACATACCACATGATTCCACTCAAATAAATTTCAAGAATAGTGTAATATAGGTATACTTTATTGAATAATAAGAAATAAAAATAAGAAAAAATCAAATAAATTAGAAAAAATTGTAGAAAAATTTAAATGACATTAGGAAGTAGAGTGAACATTATTTGGTTTTCCAGTACTATGTATGCCTCCCCCTTCTTCGAGGCACCATGATCTTCCTTTTAGAGAATCCCCCACTATGTGATATCTTCCTGGAAATTAGAGAAAGCAAAAGAAGCCAGAGTCTCCCTCTCCACAACTCGCAGATCAAGAGCTCTTTCCCCCAGGAGTTTGCATTTTGGAGGCAAGGCAACCAGTCTCCTTTGAAAAAGAATTCTTGGCTTGGTAGTGGGTCCTGGAGGGAGACTAAGCACCTGACCAAGAGACACCCGGCTACCATGTGACCTGAGCTACCCACTGCTAGCATTCCTAGCCATAAAATGAGAAGTGTACAGTAGCACTCCCTCATCAAATGGAAATGGTACATATGGAACAGGCCCAAGAAGGTTCCACATCTCAGGATGCCTGTTCTGCTGCCCTGCCAACCCACACCTATGGCCACATAGGAAGTTCCCTGTGACTACTCAGTCAGAAGACACCTGGAGCATTACAGTCCCACTAAAGGGTGGCCCTGATGGCAGGGGAGAAGAGATGTCCTCTCAGTAGGCAGAACTTTGATATTACATCTCATTGGCCACTCTACCTAGGAGACACGCTTGAGGTTAGGCTCTACCTGGCCCATGAAGAGTGGCTAATATTATGACGAGATAGGGTCATAGCTCTGCTGCTACCTGCTTGACTTCATTTTTCAGACAGACCCTGTCCACAGGGTGGGCACATTGTCCATCAGCAGTCCTGGATTCACATCCTCCCAGTTTAACGACCACAGCAGAGACATATTATCTTTCCTGTTGGCTCCAGTTGTAGTCCTGAGGAAAATCTGATTGGCCCAGGTTGGGTCACGTGCCCATTCCTGAACCAATTACTATAGCAAAGCACATGGAATATTCAGATTATCTACTAGACTGAGTCATGGACCCCAACCCTATGGCTGAGAAAAGCATGGCACTATGAATGCCAGCCCACCAGGACTAATGAACGGAGGTGGGCAGGCCCCTGCCTGACACAGTATATGAGGGTACTTCAAAAGGTTCATGGAACGATTCGTATTATCTTTTAATTCTACTTTTCCACGAACTTTCTGAAGTACCCTCATACAAATACATGTTGCAAGAAAGGGATGAACAATCATGTTGGGTAAAGAAGAACCATATCAACCACAGTCCATTGTGCTGGAGGTTATCAATGTTTGCCAATCTGGTGGGTGAGATTAAGCATCTTTTCATGTGTTTTTAGACCATTTATATTTCCTCTTTTGTAAATTGCCTGTTCTTATATATCCTTTGCCGATTTTCCTCTTGGGTTACTTGCTTTTTTCTTATTGCTTTTTAAGAGTTCTTTATATTATGGATTTTATACCATTTCCTTTCATATGTTACAAATATTTTCCATTTTAATTTTTTCACGATCTATACAGTTTTTAAAAACACTTCTTAATTCCAAATAACTTCTATGAATGCACTTTTATTAAGAGAGGAAAAGTTTTGGATCCATATACCACCCAGCCACCAAAAAAGAAAAAAAGAGAGAGTGGAAAAGTAAAAGGAACTGTGAAAGTAAGTATAATTGAAGTCCATTAAGATGTAACATTATTTCAGTGAAAATTTAACAGGTTATGAAAGACTATCTCTAATGTAATTGTGTGAATTAAGGGATAAATAGATCTTTGGTAGTAGATGCATTTACAAATTCAAAAGTGAACAGTGCATAATGCGTGCAATGGAAAGTTTGGGACAGAGAGACAGAAGAAGCCAAAGTGATTAACTTGCTGACATTTGTGTGGGAGAAAGTTTTGGAGCTGGGCACTTTACATCTTTACATACATTGCATGTAACCCTCACAATGATCCTGTGAGATACGTATCTGGGAAGTATGCATAAAGCAAATATACTTCACAGGGCCTGGTTTTCCAAAGCCTTGCAGTTTCAGATATTGACCTTGCAAAGGACAGGAAGTTCTCCCCAGGCTACGGTCTCTGTTGTAAGATAAAGAATTGAAACACAGCAAGGTTGCTGGCTCAAAGACAGACAGGTTACTGATTGATATGTAAAGATACTGGGAAATTGCTGTAAGAAGAGAATGTTTGCTAAAATCAAGCTTTTGTTAGTGGATCGACTTAACTGCATTATAGAATGTCACCTTACTGAATGTTACCAGCTTATATTGTTAAATTTATTAAACAGTACTTAGTAAAAACCCCACCTATGTTCTCTTCCTGGAACTTCCTTGTCTGTAGAATAAACGCAGGAAGAGAACCCCAATTCGTGTTTAATTTCCCAAATGGAAGGAATGCCTCTATCTTGAGGGTTCTGGGAGATTAAGCCCTTTTCAGGGTTTCTCACTGCTCAGAAGAGATAGGCTTTGAGTAATCCTTGGCGGCTCCGTCACCTAGGGGAAAAGCGGTGACAAATCCGTGGGAGGTAAAGCAGCATGTATCAACATCAACACCATAGTAATAATAACTAATATGTATCTGGCCTACACTGCATGCAGATTTCACATACATACCTCACAGGGGTCGGTACTATTATTAACCAAACTTTAGGGATGAAGCAACTGAGGTTCGGAGCGGTTAAGTAACTTGCCCAAAGTGACAGAGCCCATAGGCGGTGAGGCAAGATTCTGACTTTCTCACTTTAGAACTTACACTTTTAAACATTATGCTATCTTAGTTTATCTCTGTATCCCCAAGCCTTTGACGGGGCATTGCAAATAGAAGGTATCAATGAATGAGACCACAAAACATATTCAGGAAATGAAAAATTTAGAACAAGATTAAAAGGGCAGAAGAAAATTGTAAAAATTATTTCGAGGGGTCGAAGCGCGGCCCTAGGCGAGTCTAGGACCCCAGAAGATCCAGCGTTTCTGTGGTAACCTCCTCACGTGGCGCTGGCGGCCGGGGTACCCCAACCTGCGCGGCGCGGGCCCCTGGGGCAGTCAGACCCACCTGAGCGGCGTCCACTGCGGCAGAGCGGACAGGCCGAGTCTGCGCAGAGGAGACACCTGCGGCGGTGGGAGGCGGCCTGGGGCACACGCGCGCGGATGGGCGAGCGCAGCCCGGGGGCGGCTGGGCGGGAGTCCGGAGACCTGTGCCCTGGGGAGCGGTCCGGCAGAGGTCGCCCGGGCGCGGGGTCCGCGGTGCAGGAGCTGCGCGATGGTGGCCCTGGAGAGGTCCCCGATCGAGCGGGAGGCTGGGGGCGGCCTGGAGGTGAGACCCGGCTGCGTTCGCAAGAGCTGCGGGCCCTGGCGCCTGCGTCCCTCTGGGAGGCAGGGTGGGGAGCAGATCTCGGGGCGGGCGCTGGCGCCCTGCTGCCTCCGGGTGGGGGGAGGCCGGGGCCCCGGTAGACGTGGACGCGTGGTGCGCAGGGCTGGGCCTTCTGTGCCCTTGGCCCTCTGCTCGATCCTGGCGTGCACCGCCCAGGGTTCGCCCCCTGCCGCGTCCCCCGACCATTGTCTGTTCCAGTTCCCTCCTGTGAGTACAGCAGAGGGCATCTCCCCAGGCGCAGACTCGCTCGTCAGGCGTAAATTGACCCTATTCCATGCCTGACGCTGTGCCAGGAGCGTTTGTACATCTAACCGAGATCTGGTTTCTACGCTCCAGAGTGACCGAGAACCCCGTTGGAGAGACTAGACTAAATCACAGGAATGTTAGTTCTCTGTATAGTTCAGAGAGCTTCCACTATCTAAAATATTCGTACTGTTGGAGTTCAAAGGAGGGAGGGATTTAGGTAGGCTGGTCTCTTTGAGAAGTTCTGCATATTCTCTTAGGAGCAGCTTCAAAAGTCATTTCCTTTGGGAGGTCTTCCAGATTGCTAACTCCCTGCCTCCATTTCCTATGAAGCTTTTCATCTGTGCTTATTTAGCGTCTGGTTCATAAGTACTTATTACCTTGTTTCATGTACATGAATATTCCTCTAGACATGGATTCTATCTTTGTGCAGCATTACCTAATACATGCACATGAATGTGAATTTAAAAGGTTTGAAATAGTTGGAAGGTCATAACTGAGCTGGGCCTGAAATAGTGGGAAGTATTCGTGCAAGTTGGAAAATAAAGATCCCTGGGCCAGGTTTGACTGTAGACACATTTTCTTGGTTCATGCTGTTTGTTTTTTATTTGAATCAGTGGCCAACATTTTAAAATCATGAAATTTCTCTGTCACACACACAATCAAGATTTCCACCATCTCTTGAAAAATCAGAAGATGTGGCCAACCAGGGCCCACATACTTGCATGGTGCAACTAGCGGTAGCTGAGTAGCAACTCCCTCCTTCAGACTCACTTTAGGTCCCTACTAATCTCCATCATCTCCCTGACAGCTGTCATTTATCATTTTAGTTTGCATCTCTCATTCTGATTGACTGCCTGGCCTCTTGCAGCTATTTGAGTTTTTGCTTCCAGAGGTAGGTGAAGGAGAGCAGGAAGGGCATCATAAGTTGGGGAGCCATGGGCAAAGGCACAGAGTAGGAAAAGCATAGGATATGGAAAGATTAGGGAGGACACTGGAGCACAGATTTGCTCTTAGGTGAATATTACATAGAGTAGAGCTATTGTTATGGGTTGAATTTTGTTCCCCCAAAAAGATATGTGGAAGTCCTAACCCCCATTACCTCAGAGTGTGATCATATTTAGAAATAGGGTCATTGCAGGAGTTCCAATCAAGATGTTGGAATAGATGGTCCCCAGCATCACTCTCTCCCACAAGTCAACCAATTTACAACTATAAAAATGTAACATCAGCCAAGCTGGGGCCACTGGAGCTCAGGGGAAGAGGAGGAGAGACCTACGGAGTTCATGAAGGCAGGAGAAACTATGATGACAGAAAGAAAAAGCGGCTCTGAGCATTTCGGGCTGAGGCCCCTTTAAGGCTGGAACTGCTGAGCACATGGAGCAGGAGCCACAGAAGCCGCAGCTGTGCCCTTCAGATGGAATTACTTGGAGGTGGCAGGGTAGAAGAGGGCCTTGGTGGCACCCAGGACAGCAAGACCACTGATAGGGTTCCCATGGACCCACGCAGGAGTGAGGAGCCAGAACAGCTGAAAAAAGGGAGCCATTCAGAGGCCAGTGAGTCATCACAAGGACCAGAGCAGGGCTCGTCCCATGGGAAGTGTTTGGAGCATGGGCGGTGGCGAGATGGGCCCACCGGGAGAACACTGGGACACAGCAAGAACAGCCGATCTGCCCCCCAGTCAGTGCAGGACCACTCTGAGGAGACTGGTCAGGAATGCAGAATTCCATGAGGTGCATTTTGATGAAAAGACTCAGGCCCAGATCAGAGTTTCTACACAACCCAGGTGCACCAGGTCTCTGGAGAGTCAGAAGTACCTATAAGGTCAACCATTAAACCCTGAGCTACACAAAAAGCCTTCCCTAGGGAAACAGCACCAAAGCAGCAATTTAGCTCAACAACACAGCTCAAGTACTGGTTCCCACAGGAAGTTCCCCCATTTTAGAAGTAAGCAAAGGACAAAAAATTAGTTCTGGCCCAGGCACACCACTAGCACCTTGGTGCCCACCAGGGGACATGAGGCATGGAGCTGGGGACCAGACCCCCACCCACAACCACTCACATTACCAGCATCTCAGGGCTCACCGGGGGACCCATGGCATGGAGAAGGGGACCAGACGCCCCCTCCCACAACCAGACACATCGCACCAGTGCCTCAGGGCCTGCCCAGGGACCCGAGGCATGGAGAAGGGGACCAGACACCCCTCTCACAACCAGGCACACCGTGCCAGCACATTGGGGCCTGTCGGGGGACCCAAGGTCTGGAGCCAGGGACCAGACCCCCTTCCCACAACCAGGCACACTATGCCAGTGACTCAGGGCCCTCCCGGGGACCCAAGGTATGGAGCCGGAGACCGGACACTCCCCACAACCAGGCATACCACCAGCACAAAGGAGCATGCCAAAAACATCACCTCCATGTGGATGGCCCATCACAGCCACCACAATAACCATGGCTGCCACTAAAGCAGCTAGATGCCACAACCACCACACAGATGGTCCGCCAGCCACTGGAGGGCATTGACACAAGGAGAGTCATCAGCAAAGTTAAAGAAAAGAAGAGGACGTCTCTTCCAACAAAACCCATTTCAGAGTGACAGAAGGAGCATCTGCTCTATGATAAATATTGAGGGACCTGATCACACCTCTCAGCATTGGACAGATCATCTAGGCAACAAATCAATAGAGTTTTCTATTGATTTATTCTTTCAGAGTATTCTTTCAGAAGGAGAGAAGAAATCTAGAGTAATTAGAGGGGGGTGAGGGAGAGGGGATGGGGAGAGATTGGACAAGGGGCATAAAGAATAAGTATGATTTGTAACAATATATATGCTAGTAATATTGATTTGATCAACATATCTCAATGTTGAACCCCCAAAATATGTATAATCAATTTTGATTCAATAAAAATAAAAAATAAAAAAAAGAAAGAAATAGGGTCATTGCAGATGTAATTAGTTTAGATGAAGTCATACTGGAGTAGAGTAGGCCCCTGATCCAATATGACTGGTGTCATAACAAGAAATAGCTATGTGAAGAGACAGAGACACAGTGAGAATGCCATGTGAAGAGATTGGAGTGCTGCATCTACAAGGCAAGGAATGCCAAGGATTTCCAGCTGTCACCAGAAGCTAGCAGAGAGGCATGGAACAGATTATCCCTCACAGCCTGCAGAAAGAAGCAGCCCTGCCAACACCTTGGTTTCAGACTTCTCACCTCTAGAACTGTGAGAGAATACATTTCTGTTGTTTTAAGCCACCCAATTTGTGGTCCTTTGTTACGGTGACCCTAGGAAACCAATACAGCTCTGTAAGTCAAAAAGGAGCTATTGTTTCCTTTAGTAGGTGATAAGAAATTCACGGTAGGTTTTTGATCAATGAAAGCAATGCTTTAGAAACTGATTTCATCTGGTAGTGTAACCAGTATCAACTGGAGGCAGAAAACATGTTGAGAGGTTTTACAGCAATCCAAGCATGAGGTGAAAAGGTCTGGATTAAGATGGAGTTGGAGAGACAGAGGAGCAGTTTTCAGAGTCAACGATGACCAAAGGAGTGTTTATCAAATTCTAGCATCCATAAGAATCACCTGGCGAGCTTGTTAAAACAGATTGCTGGGCCCCACCCCAGAGACTCCAACTCAACAGGTCTGGGATTGTCCTTGAGAATTTGCATTTTTACTCATCTCCTGTGTGATGCTGATGTTGGCATGTGGATCACATTTTAGGTAGCACTAAACTGCTGTGCTTCTGTCTTTAAAATCTCTAGAATACAAGCCCTATGAGGGCAGGGATTTATCTTGTTCATCAGTGTATTCCAGGGCCTAGAATAGTGCCTGGACATTGTAGGTTTCTTAGTCTGTTTGGGCTCCTGTAACAAAAATACCATAGACTAGGTGGCTTATAAACAACAAAAATATAGTTCTGCAGGCTGAGAAATCCAAGATCAAGTCACCAGCAGATTCAGTGTCTGGTCAGGGCCCACATCCTGATTCATAGATGGCTGTCTTTTGACTGTGCACTCACATGGCAAAAGGTACAGGGGAACTCTGGACCTTTTTTATAAGGGCACTAATCCCATTCATTAGGGCTCTGCCCTCATGACTTAATCACTTCCCAAAGGTCCCTTCTTCTAATACCATCATATTGAGATTAGCTTTCATTATATGAATTTTGCTGGGACACAAACATTCAGTCTATGGCAGTAGGCTCATTATAAATATTTGTTAAATGAAAACTGGTCATTTGGACAGAAGATGATGATAAAGGAATAACCCTAGAAGCAAAAACGATGTGTTTATTTTTATCCATTTGATTCGTACTGTCAGTTAAGACATTGGGCTGGAGATGCATTGTGAATATACGGCAAAATGTGGGTAAGGAATAGGAGTTTTAGATTTGCTATTTATTCTGCTCAAAGACGATAACTTAAGCCAGAGGTGATGGTCATTGACGTATTGAATGTAAAAAGAGGACCAGGAGCTGAGCCTTAATAACACTGACGTTTAGTAGCAGGAGAAAGCTGAAAGGGTAAAGACAGTAAGAAGTGGAAGGGCTGGAGTATCATGCATTATAGAGGCCAAGGGAGGAAAGAATTTCAGGGACTAGTTAGTCAAAGGAAAGAGGGAAGAGTTAACTTACTATTCATTTATTCAACAGTTTTTTTATTGAGCATCCACTATGTTTCCAGAACTGTTCCGATATGGCTTTATATATATTATCTTACTTAATCTGTACAATAATGCTTTGGAGTAAGTGGTAACATTCGTTTCACATTAGATGAAATGATGGTTGAGGGAAATTAAGAAACCGGGAT